AGAGTCCTCTGCTGCTGATGTTCAGGTGTATTTCAGTATGTAGTGTCTCTACTTTAAAGAGTCCTCTCCTGCTGATGTTCAGGTGTATATCAGTATGTAGTGTATCTACTTTAAAGAGTCCTCTCCTGCTGATGTTCAGGTGTATTTCAGTATGTAGTGTCTCTACTTTAAAGAGTCCTCTCCTGCTGATGTTCAGGTGTATTTCAGTATGTAGTGTCTCTACTTTAAAGAGTCCGCTCCTGCTGATGTTCAGGTGTATATCAGTATGTAGTGTCTCTACTTTAAAGAGTCCTCTCCTGCTGATGTTCAGGTGTATATCAGTATGTAGTGTCTCTACTTTAAAGAGTCCTCTCCTGCTGATGTGCAGGTGTATATCAGTATGTAGTTGTCCCTACTTTAAAGAGTCCTCTCCTGCTGATGTTCAGGTGTATATCAGTATGTAGTGTCTCTACTTTAAAGAGTCCTCTCCTGCTGATGTTCAGGTGTATATCAGTATGTAGTGTCTCTACTTTTAAAGAGTCCTCTCCTGCTGATGTTCAGGTGTATATCAGTATGTAGTGTCTCTACTTTAAAGAGTCCTCTCCTGCTGATGTTCAGGTGTATATCAGTATGTAGTGTCCCTACTTTAAAGAGTCCTCTCCTGCTGATGTTCAGGTGTATATCAGTATGTAGTGTCTCTACTTTAAAGAGTCCTCTGCTGCTGATGTTCAGGTGTATTTCAGTATGTAGTGTCTCTACTTTAAAGAGTCCTCTCCTGCTGATGTTCAGGTGTATATCAGTATGTAGTGTATCTACTTTAAAGAGTCCTCTCCTGCTGATGTTCAGGTGTATTTCAGTATGTAGTGTTGAGAAACCTCAAGATTTATGAACTCTAAACTTTTAGAGGAATAAAGTCACGCAACTTAATTTGTTTTTTCTTCTGCATGAAAGCAACAGACTAAATTGTGACTACATTACCCAGCATGCACAGGAACTCGTTTATTTTCTCCTCGTTATCTCTCCCCTCATTTGCATCTCAGTTTGTCTCCTCGTTGGGAGATGAGATGTTTTTAGAAAACCGCGCGGGCTCTTTGTGTTTCTTCGCCTCAAACACTTTGTACCTGATTTCCTCTCAGTGGGTTTTCAGCGTTTGTGAAAAACCAAGTGAGAAAAACAAAACAAACCGATGTTTTTTTACGCGTCTGTCCAGATCCCCGGAGGCTTTGAGGAGCAGGTTTACAGAGAGGCTTTGTGATGACTCTACTTATTATAATTATTAAAACATGAAGTCTGAATGCTTATTTCTGAACTTCAAAAGCGTCTGAGCTGAAGTTTACAGACAGGTCTCTAATAACCATGCCTCCAGTACTGCCACACACTCAGCGTAATGCCACAAATAAGACAAAACCACCAAGAAAATAGAGTTTAATATGAAGTGTAGGAGCCATTTACTGAGTTTATTAAATACGTTTTGTTTTATTAGTATAAAAAAGTTCTGGGTTTTTAAAATTGGACAGTTCATTTGTCTTTTAGTCTGAGTGCTGCTGACAGGAAGGCCAGTACTAGAGAGTGGTTCAACTATAGGAAACACCTGCCGCCGATGAGTCGATTGACTTTGTTTATGATATTTTTAAGATGGAAAGGAGTACGTTTGCTTTGAGTGCAGCAGGGAAGCTTTTTGAAAAGACACATGATGTATGTTACACCTAAAGGACCGTCATTGCTTTGTTTGTATGGTGGTATTCATACAGGGATTACCCTCTGTATAATGTGAGCCACACAGAGAATATACTTTCTGCCACTATCATAACATATTTCACACGTTTATAAAGCATGCAACAACACAACAAAAATAAAGACGTCTCCCAGTGTCAGTGCAGGCTCTTTCCCAAAGTCCTGATGACTCTCCTTCACTTCCTTTATAACCCCATGCATCCTTCACTCAAGTAGAAGTACACACATCCTTTACTCAAGTAGAAGTACAGATACTGGTGTTTAAAGATACTCTGGTGAAAGTAGAAGTACTGACTAAACTTCTTTATTCAAGTCAAAGTAAAGAGGGCTTTGAAATGTACTTCAGTAAAAAGTACCCATAACTAGCAGCTGTTTTAAAGAGTACCTGACCTCCCTTTCATCGTCAAAATCATTTTATAACATTGAATCATTATAGTTATTCATTCCATCAAAAAAAAAGAAAAAAAAAAGAAAAAGAAAAAGAAAGAAATGATTGTAAAATGTAACCTGCTAATTATTGTCATGGATTTGAAAACTGATGTTTATTTGCTATGTTCTGGCTGCTAGCTCAGTGAGTTCTTGCCTGCAGTGATGGGGTGTATACCCATGGAATCTGTGGAATCTCAGCTTTCAGATGATGTGTTGTTTGTGCAGAAAGTATAATTATAAATTATCATTTTTGTGAGTTATGAGCAGAAATAGCATTAGTCCGTATTTGCTAAGGGCTCATTGAAAGGCTTCTTGTGGGAGTTATTATTATTTTTTTTTTTTTTTTGTATAGTCAGTTAGCTGAGTTTCTTCCCGTCAGCTGGGTGTGGAACATTAATAGTTTCATAAATGACACTTCAGAGATCACACTGGTGCTAGCAGATGTAGCATTTGCGGACCCTTCGGCGGGTCCGTGGCGTTTAACAGGGGTACAGTAACGAAGTATTTGTACTCCAATACTTCCCACCTCTGCACTCAGGTTAAAGAGCAGATGCTAGGAAGATAGATTTCTGAATGCAGCCCTGGTTTCCTGCTCTCTTGTAGGAGTGGGTTTCTCCTCCGCAGGCTGCTGCTCAGCAAACACCTCAAATGGAAAATGTGACAGCGTCGCCCTCGCACTATCAAACCGCTCCGAGAGGCAGTCAGACCTGTGTGTGAGATCTCACTCTGCAGCCGTCTGCAGCTTCAATCAGCCGGGAGACTTTCACAGAAACGCAGCGGCAACGTATAAAGAGCGCTGAGTACAAGTACAAGTAAAAGTGGCAACAGGGAATGGGATCCACGGTGCGTTCAGGGGCGTCACGGCCATATTGGGAGGATAGGGTCTATATCAACATCAGCAGCCGTTAATATATATCAGCGTTTCCTGTTTCTGTCAGATGGATCCGATATGAAGTATGTGTGAAATATAACTAAAGAGAAGCTCAGGGCAGAAACACAGGAGCGTTTAACAATAAAAAGAATTAATGACATCTGTCCGTGTGAATTAAGGGATGAATGATCACTGTGACCAATGTCGCTCTGGTGTTTGGAGGTAGTCTCTACACCTTTTTTTTATTAGTCGATTTATTCTACATGTTAAAAACAAGGTCTATACATTTAAATAAACACTTAAATAGTTCCCGTCATGTTCAAAAGGGGCAAGAAGAAGCTTAAAAACGTTTCTGGTCCCCCTCTAGCATACATTGTTCATGAAAATAAAAGTTCAGGTCATCGTCATCATCATCCGTGATATTTGATTCATTGTTTTGAAGTGCTTCTGGGTGCATGAACAACCAACTGATTGAATGACTCACTGTGAGTTTAATAAGATGGAGGGTTTCATTGACTCACATGACGGAGACGACGTCGCCTCGTTAGTTGAATGAAATGTTATCCCATGGTGCTTTTTTGTTTGTTCATTGGTCATACTGTAGGAGTGTGAAGAAATTACGCTACTCCACTGTACAGGTTAAGCTGGTATCCTCCAAAGACGTCCCACTTAACGTTGTTGACGTCCCATTCCCTATCCTTATTTTCAGGGGCGGACTAGCCATCTGTATAATTTCCCCGCAGCGAGCCCCCCCCCCCCGTTGACAATCCACTAGCGCAGTGTTTCTCAAACTTTTTCATACCAAGGACACTTAACCAATAAAGAACACTCACGGACCACCTGACTCCACAAAGATCCAGAAACAAAAGGCCTGCTTCCCACTCCAACAGTACATAGCAGCCTGATAATGACAGTTTAACCTTCTCTACATCGCCTCGTTCACACAATAAATCAACAACACAAATACAACTACAGATTCTATAAGCATTTAGTTCAAATGCGATTTAAAATGCTCTCAGGTTTTACACCTCTTATGAAATGTAGACTACATTTATTACAGAGTTTATGTCCAACAGACTCACAGATCGTTGGCTACTGAGAGAAATGCAAAATACACCGCATAGTACGACACAAACCTCCGCTGTGGATTTTCAAAACAAAATACAGTAAAACTACGGTCGCAGGCCCAAGTGTAACTCTCCGAGACCTGCATGGACTGCCTACAAGACAAAACAAAAAAAACGTTTATGCAGCCCCAACACAACAGCCTCTGATCATCAACAGACTTCATGCAATGCTTCATCGGCTGCATATATTAGATAATAATCTCTATCTCACTTCTAACACATCTAAATCTACTTCCAGCGTGGATACATGTTCATAAAATACATCCATTGTTTGTTCCATATGCTTCTTGAAATCCTAAAAAACAAATCCTTTTTCTAGAACAGATTACAAATCGCCTGAAAATGGTACAAACAAGTGGCAACATGTTTGACGAAGGTGTTGCGCTGGGCTATATCATGCAATCGAAAGTGAAACTTAAGCTCGCTCCATTGCGGAGATATTCCCGCGAGAGTGCGGAAAACTTAAATTAATTCACTAGCCGCCCCCCCCCAGACCACAGTTTACTCCTAAATACTTCTGGATGCACGGAACAACCTACTTGCTGTGTCTCGTTCAAAAATGTTAGTCTTGTCGTGTTTCTTAATGGTTAGTGAAGTCATTTTTGTCTCGTCTTCCACTTCCTGTTTTACTTTGGTGCTCTTTTGTGTCTCGTTCCAGGTCCCTTGACTCCCTATCCTTGTGCCATTCCTTATTAACCTGATTGTTTCCACAATGGTTTTTTTGTTGGCATTTTTGAAAATAAAGTATTTTTCTTATACTTTAACTCTCTCTCCTGGAGTCGTGCATTTGAGTCCAAACTGCCTTGCGTTTCAAGTTCGTGACATAACTGGTTATAAGACGGAGGGTTTCCTTGACTCACATGACGGTGACGACGTCGCCTCGCTGGACTTCGTAGTTCCTGACGCTCCATTTGTTCAGCAGAACGACGTCACAGTTAGACCCCCCCTCAGGGTTCAGGGAGGGCTGCAGAGACAGAAACACACATTATATGGACTCTCATATTCTTATTATTAATGTATGTACGGGTACGATTAAATAAAAAGACATTACTGTAAAACCTCTCTCTCATTGTTTAGTACAAAAACAGTTTGTGATTGATCGGTCATTTCCCTCTCTTGTTTAGGAGAACGAATAATACAATAGGATTTGTTTGCAACTGGTCAAAGATGCATATCCCCAGATCAAGGTTCAAGTTTTACTTTCCCTCAACAAACTTTGTTTTTTTTTAACTCAAATGCTTCGCTATAAATGAAAAATGACTTGGTTAAATAGACAATAACACAGAAGACTATTTAAATGTCACTTCAGGGCTTCCAAAGGCTCAAATCTGCAAAGGAGGTCCATTATCCACTTTATTTATTTGTCATGAAGACAGTTTGTGTGTGGTTGGTCATCCCCATCCCTTCTTTAGCGAACAGTATATTAAAAACCTAATAGAAATGTTCTCTGGCGTGTTTAGTAAAAGCCTCGCTGACAGCTCCGTCACGCACCTGTCCTCCTCAGAAACTACACACTCATTATTCTCTGTTTGTGTCACTTCACCTGACGACGAGCGTTTCATTACACAGGAAGTGAGCAGGCCATTTCACGCCTGCCGACTTAATACTTCCTAAACTAACTGACAGCATGGAGACACACATTTCTCTACATGCTGTCTCTGATGCCCCTTTCACACCGGTTCCAGGGCCGGTTCGGAGCTATACTAGAGCGAAAACCGATTCTTACCAAGTCCGAAAAAATTGTCCGTCTAGAAGCAAAAACCGCATACGTCACGCTTACGTCGGAGGCGGGGGCGGGATCAACCTCCTGAACAACAACTAAAAGCCCATTATCTGAGGCACAGAACTCAGGCCCATTATCTGAGGCATCACCTACCCGTCAGGAACCCTTCACCCATGCTCCTTCACAAAACTACAGGGATGGGCGACGGAGGTCAAAATATTGAAATGTTGAGGAAAAAGTCCAAATATAGAAATGTTTAAAAAAAAATACAAAATATTGACATTTTGAGAAAAAGACAAAATATTGAAATTGAGAAAAAGTCAAATTATTGACATTTTGAGAAAAAGACGAAATATTGACATTTTGAGAAAAAGACAAAATATTGACATTTTGAGAAAAAGACAAAATATTGAAATTGAGAAAAAGACAAAATATTGAAATTGAGAAAAAGTCAAATTATTGAAATGTTGAGACAAAATATTGAATTTGAGAAAGACAAAATATTGAATTTGAGAAAAAGACAAAATATTGACATTTTGAGAAAAAGACATAATATTGAAATTGAGAAAAAGTAAAAAATGTGAGATTCTCAGAACAAGTTAGAATCTTCCCAAGAGGTACAGAGGAAGCTGGAGGGGAGCGGTCCAAAGCAATTTTACAGCAATTGCAGCGAGAGATGGCTACTGGTTGAAAGGCGCTTGTGACGAATGGAAAGTTCGTGGTGAAGTCGTCCTATTATTTCCATTTGGTTTCGACAAAACAAAAGCAAAACGCGCAGCGCTTCAATACAATCGGCCATTGTTGGTGTTGTCGATGTGAGGGGTTTCCGCGCGGTTTGGCTTTATGAAGCAGGCACGTAAACGGTTACGTCATGACGCAAACGATGACGCAGCACCAGTCGGGCTCTGGGCGGTGTGAACAAAACGGGGGCTGAAAAGAAAAAAAGGTTCAGAACCAGAAGAGTGCAAGCGGAGCGAGAACGGGAGCTGTTGGTGTGAAAGGGGCAAAAGTCTGAGTTTACAGGACCATAGCAGAGTGTCGTTTTTACAGCAGTGATGCAGAAGTTATAATAAGTTATTTGTCACTATTATGATTTTCATTTTATTAACTATTATAATCTGTTATGATTTTTTTGTTATTATTACGATTTTTATTGTATTAATATGATTTTATTATTTTTATTTTCCTTTAACGATAGCAGAGAGATGCAAGTGCCGAAACATGTTTGAAAATGAAATATTTTTTTGGGTCAGAGAATGTAAACATAGTGAAAAATGTACATAACATAGGGTTTTGAGTGGGCATGGCAAAATGACTCAACAGCGCCACCTGGATCGCAGCCCTATTAGCGAACGTCCTACATGTATGAAATTTGGTCTGTATATGTAACACAGGGAGAATGTTAAAAAATTATATTGGAGTGAGACCGTAAAACCAACAGGAAGTGGGCTATGTTGAATCTTACATTATTTTTTGATAATTAAATGGGCTCTTTTGTGCTTTCCTCGAGTGTGTTCTACAGGTTTTAGTGCATGTAAATGGTCTGCAAAGGATAACATCCCTGTGTTCTGTTTTAATATATAATAAGTGTAAATATAACTTTAAATAAATGTTAAGGAGCTTCAAGAGATTATTTTATAGTTTGTGCACTTTGAAGAAAATACAAACTATTTAATTAAAGATGAAAAACAACTAGGTCACAAAGCAGGTGAATAAATAAATAATATATTAATCAAAATAAAAGTTACAAAGTAAATACAAAAACATAAATAATAGTCATATGGAGGAGTAATAATACAAATGTATATTTAAAACAACAAAGGATATTTAGAGTTACATTAAAGCTGGTTTCAGGTGACAGTGACACATGATGTTAATCTTTTGAAGACCTTTTAAAGACAAAGTACTATATTATTTAAAGAACTGAATCAATGCACTATAATAAATGAATGATTTCCATGACATATTTAAATATATAACAGGAAGTTTAAATCTAAACCTTGCATTTATTTAACGACTTATTAATCAGACTCTAGGAAATCCAAGCCAAGAATAAAGAGACTCAATTTAATATAATATATTATTAACTTCATAAAAATCCAGTCACACACGAACATCTTTGGATGGAAGTTCATGGATGTATTTTCATGACTCGTCACACACGTCTGATTCTCCGACAGAAAATTAAAAAGTCACAACGTCCGTATTCATACCGCCGTTACTCAGGGAACACTGTTCCCATGACAACAACACAAGCAGTGCAAACACACACACAACCAGCAGTGAGAGAAAGACACACACACACCAACACACAGAGGAGAGAAAGACACACACACACACACACACACACACACACAACCACACACACACACACACACACACACACACAACACACACACACACACACACACACCACACACACACACACACACACACACACACACACACACACACACACACACACACACACACACACACACACACACACACACACACACACACACACACACACACACACACACACACACACACACACACACACACACACACACACACACACACACACACACACACACACACACACACACACACACACACACACACACTATCTGTGTCTCTCAATGGTGTGTGTGTGTGTGTTTTGTACAGTTCTTATCAGGCGGATGCCATTCAGTCCAAACACAAAACATTACATCTGTCTTTTATTTACAAAGCTTTAAGAGGTTAATGTCCCCCGTTCAAACTCGAGAGTGAGCAGCGTTCATCACAGGACCCTTCACCTGACGAGAGCATGATGGGAATATTCTCATCTCATAAATAACATATTATCCAGCATCAGATGACCACTACTGAGGGGTCAATGTCTCTTTTTAATAACAGACACATATTATTCTGTCACACTGAAGCAACAGAGATTAGATGTTACAGTTACAGGAAGACTTTCGATGCAGATATAGAAACACAAATGTTCCACATGAAGAAATATCTTCAGCAACTTGAGGAAACATGAGCAGCTGAAGAAGCTCAGAACACAGCTGGGAGCCCAGGGGACACTAAAGAGTGAAGCACACAGCTGGAGACCAGGGGACACTAAAGAGTGACGCACACAGCTGGGAGACCAGGGGACACTAAAGAGTGAAGCACACAGCTGGAGACCAGGGGACACTAAAGAGTGACGCACACAGCTGGGAGACCAGGGGACACTAAAGAGTGACGCACACAGCTGGGAGCCCTGGGGACACTAAAGAGTGAAGCACACAGCTGGAGACCAGGGGACACTAAAGAGTGACGCACACAGCTGGGAGACCAGGGGACACTAAAGAGTGAAGCACACAGCTGGAGACCAGGGGACACTAAAGAGTGACGCACACAGCTGGGAGACCAGGGGACACTAAAGAGTGACGCACACAGCTGGGAGACCAGGGGACACTAAAGAGTGACGCACACAGCTGGGAGACCAGGGGACACTAAAGAGTGACGCACACAGCTGGAGACCAGGGGACACTAAAGAGTGACGCACACAGCTGGGAGAACAGGGGACACTAAATAGTGACGCACACAGCTGGAGACCAGGGGACACTAAAGAGTGACGCACACAGCTGGGAGACCAGCGGACACTAAAGAGTGACGCACACAGCTGGAGACCAGGGGACACTAAAGAGTGACGCACACAGCTGGGATACCAGGGGACACTAAAAAGTGACGCACACAGCTGGTAGATCAGGGGACACTAAAGAGTGACGCACACAGCTGGGAGACCAGGGGACACTAAAGAGTGACGCACACAGCTGGGAGACCAGGGGACACTAAAGAGTGACGCACACAGCTGGGAGACCAGGGGACACTAAAGAGTGACGCACACAGCTAGGGGACCAGGGGACACTAAAGAGTGACGCACACAGCTGGGCGACCAGGGGACACTAAAGAGTGACGCACACAGCTGGGCGACCAGGGGACACTAAAGAGTGACGCACACAGCTGGGCGACCAGGGGACACTAAAGAGTGACGCACACAGCTGGGCGACCAGGGGACACTAAAGAGTGACGCACACAGCTGGGAGACCAGGGGACACTAAAGAGTGACGCACACAGCTGGGAGACCAGGGGACACTAAAGAGTGACGCACACAGCTGGGAGACCAGGGGACACTAAAGAGTGACGCACACAGCTGGGAGCGCCTAGTGACGTTCAGGATTATAAAGCTGATCAACTGTCTCTGATGTTGGAAACTTAAAGGTTTACAAGTGTAAACTCCTCATTTAGCCTCCTCTGGAAGTTTTATCTCTGGCAGAGGTCGACTTCACGACCCGCCACACGCAGCTACATGAATAAACAACAGGAAGCAAACAGGCACTACTAATATTCATGCTCATTAAAAATAGAGGGCAGATTGTTTAATGCATAATGCAAAAACACAGCAGGGATAATAAGCAGCACGACAGGAAACCAAATCGGTCAAAACCCAAGAGCACTCGTTTTGTTTCAGTGTTTCATATTTGTCCGTCTCTGACTCTCAATGAGCACCTTGTTTACTGTCGGGAGCAGAAGAAACTTAAGTCAAAGTAAACTAACCAAACTGTAAAAGTGAAGGTCCTGCATGCAAAATCCTACTTAAGTCAAACTAATGTTGGGCTATAAAGGAACTACAGCACGGTCACATGACTTCACATCACCACCGCTAAGCTAAAGGTGGCTAATGTTGGGCTATAAAGGAACTACAGCACGGTCACATGACTTCACGTCACCACCGCTAAGCTAAAGGAGGCTAATGTTGGGCTATAAAGGAACTACAGCACGGTCACATGACTTCACATCACCACCGCTAAGCTAAAGGTGGCTAATGTTGGGCTATAAAGGAACTACAGCACGGTCACATGACTTCACGTCACCAGCGCTAAGCTAAAGGAGGCTAATGTTGGGCTATAAAGGAACTACAGCACGGTCACATGACTTCAAGTCACCACCGCTAAGCAAAAGGAGGCTAATGTTGGGCTATAAAGGAACTACAGCACGGTCACATGACTTCACATCACCACCGCTAAGCTAAAGGTGGCTAATGTTGGGCTATAAAGGAACTACAGCACGGTCACATGACTTCACGTCACCAGCGCTAAGCTAAAGGAGGCTAATGTTGGGCTATAAAGGAACTACAGCACGGTCACATGACTTCACGTCACCACCGCTAAGCTAAAGGTGGCTAATGTTGGGCTATAAAGGAACTACAGCACGGTCACATGACTTCACGTCACCAGCGCTAAGCTAAAGGAGGCTAATGTTGGGCTATAAAGGAACTACAGCACGGTCACATGACTTCACGTCACCACCGCTAAGCTAAAGGAGGCTAATGTTGGGCTATAAAGGAACTACAGCACGGTCACATGACTTCACATCACCACCGCTAAGCTAAAGGTGGCTAATGTTGGGCTATAAAGGAACTACAGCATGGTCACATGACTTCACGTCACCAGCGCTAAGCTAAAGGAGGCTAATGTTGGGCTATAAAGGAACTACAGCACGGTCACATGACTTCACGTCACCACCGCTAAGCTAAAGGTGGCTAATGTTGGGCTATAAAGGAACTACAGCACGGTCACATGACTTCACGTCACCACCGCTAAGCTAAAGGTGGCTAATGATGTCTGATTGGTGGATGGACGTCTCACCTGCATCGACCGTCCCGTCACTAGCGTCACGGAGGCGAGTCGATCGATGGCGGTCGTTAGGACGGAAACCCCCACGATGATGCCGCTAACTAACATCCGTATTTTGCGCCATGCCTGCTGAGCCATCACCTGGACAGGAAACAGGAAACAGGAAACACCATCACTAAGGGAAGTAAACAGCACTAAGGTTCCTTCAGCTTCGTACTCCAATAAGTGCTTCCTGTTGAGGTGGGGGAGTAAACTTCTTGTGTTTCCTCCTCGGGCAATCATTTTAGTTCGACAACATTTGCAATAAATGTTTGTTTGGTCCACGTCAGATTTTTTTAATCCAAAAAACCTCCAAACGACAGACACAGCTCCTCTCCTGTCTCAGTGTCCATCTTTACATTCAGCTTCACATGTTATGCTACTGCTACTACACTTGCCCCAGCATGCATTTCAGCGGTGCAGCAGTGAAAGCAGTCCCCAGGGTTCTCAGGGGATTTAAGGTATAAAGTTCACGGTATACCACCCAGCCCTAACCTCATTTATTATCTTCTTGTTATTCTGTGCAGAAATTGTCTAAGAAAGTAAAACAGTAGGTCTTCTCCCTTCAACTGAGATATCTCTAGATAAAAGTCACATTTTTAAGCTGTTTTCATGCCAAATTGCTTATTTCTAAGATAAGAATCTGGTCTTGTTATGGAATAAAACTCTAAAGTACCTTACCTTCATATACTTGAATAAAGTAGATTTCACCAGACTGAATTGTATATCTTCCCATTCTCTCTGCAGTTTAAAGCCGGTTTAGCTCCATATATCAGTAAATAATAATAATAATGCATTTAATTTATATATATCTCATCTGCCAAGACAAATCTCGAAGCGCTTCACAACAAAGGATAATAATAAATTAAATAAAAGTCGGAGATAGCGATAAAAATGGCAGTACTCCAGGTGTACCATGCTCAAAGTTTATTGGAAGGCCTGCCGAAAGAAGAGGGTCTTAAGGCCGGTTTTCAAGACCTCGGTGGAAGGGGCAGATCTCAGCTGATCTGGGAGGGAGTTCCAGAGGCGCGGGGCGAATGAGCAGAAGGCTCGGTCCCCCATTGTCCGGAGACGTGTGCGGGGGATGTAAAGAAGAGGAGCGTGGCTGGAGCGGAGGGAGCGGGTAGATGTCTGGGTACGGATGAGGTCACAGAGGTATTTTGGGCTTTGTCCATTCAGGGCTTTGTAGGTCAGGAGCAGAACCTTAAACTGGATCCTGTAGTGGACTGGGAGCCAGTGTAGTTGTGCAAGTATGGGGGTTATGTGTGCGGACCTTTTTGCACCGGTGAGAACTCTGGCTGTTCTGTTCTGGACAAGTTGCAGGCGGTGAAACGAATGTAAGGTTAGACATTAATCCAAGCACAATGTGAGTGACTCCAACATGCATCAGCAAAATCCTGTTAATCCCCCACAGGTTTGGCGTTTGGACAGTGGAAACACATCGGCCCGTCTCCCCGGACACTTTTTCATCCACTTTGCTTTCACAGGAAGCCCAGACAGGCGTGAAATTACCCATCATGCACCGCTGCCTTCAGCAAACAGCTAACAGCCCGGTGCGGACGTACAGATATTACTTCCACATCACAACACATGAAACACCATCACACACACACTCCCTACACACACACACACTCCCTACACACTCCCTACACACTCCCCCTCCAGCTGCAGCCGGGGAAACGTCCATCACTGCGGCTGTGAAGCGTTTAGGAAGAAATATAGAAGATAATCTGGATTTGACTTCCCCGTAATGTCACCTCTCACTCAACATGATAACCAGCAGCTGAACAGCAGTGGTGGAAAGTGACTGTACTGATGTTCAGGTGTATATCAGTATGTAGTGTCTCTACTTTAAAGAGTCCTCTCCTGCTGATGTTCAGGTGTATATCAGTATGTAGTGTCTCTACTTTAAAGAGTCCTCTCCTGCTGATGTTCAGGTGTATATCAGTATGTAGTGTCTCTACTTTAAAGAGTCCTCTCCTGCTGATGTTCAGGTGTATATCAGTATGTAGTGTCTCTACTTTAAAGAGTCCTCTCCTGCTGATGTTCAGGTGTATATCAGTATGTAGTGTCTCTACTTTAAAGAGTCCTCTCCTGCTGATGTTCAGGTGTGTATCAGTATGTAGTGTCTCTACTTTAAAGAGTCCTCTCCTGCTGATGTTCAGGTGTATATCAGTATGTAGTGTCTCTACTTTAAAGAGTCCTCTCCTGCTGATGTTCAGGTGTGTATCAGTATGTAGTGTCTCTACTTTAAAGAGTCCTCTCCTGCTGATGTTCAGGTGTATATCAGTATGTAGTGTCTCTACTTTAAAGAGTCCTCTCCTGCTGATGTTCAGGTGTGTATCAGTATGTAGTGTCTCTACTTTAAAGAGTCCTCTCCTGCTGATGTTCAGGTGTATATCAGTATGTAGTGTCTCTACTTTAAAGAGTCCTCTCCTGCTGATGCTCAGGTGTATATCAGTATGTAGTGTCTCTACTTTAAAGAGTCCTCTCCTGCTGATGTTCAGGTGTATATCAGTATGTAGTGTCTCTACTTTAAAGAGTCCTCTCCTGCTGATGCTCAGGTGTATATCAGTATGTAGTGTCTCTACTTTAAAAGAGACAAATCTCCCTCCCTAATCTCTTCCGTATGAGGAGGACTCTCTCCGTCTGAGAGACAGATCCATCTGGCGCTCAACAAACCCCAATCCCACTAACCATTCCACTTATTCAGAAGAGACGGACACAGAGTGGTATAAATATCAGATTCAGAGAGCGGGGGTCAGCGAATCAGACGGAGACGCAGTGCTTTGCTCTTTCTGCGATTGCTGGAATTACATTTCTGGGTCTCTGGGCTGGAGTCCATCTCAAACGGTAACTAATGTCGGCGTCCCGGAGCTTTTCCAGACCGATAAATCCACCGGGGAGGATGAAGAGAGGCGGGGGGGGGGGCTGATTACAGACCGCCGCAGACACACTTCCCCTAAGCTATTTTCTATATACCAGTGTAGGAAGAGGAGCACACAGGAGACAACCGTTTCATTGCAGACTGTTATGTTTATTTGGGGAAATGGCAGTGCATACATTATTTGAGATATATTTCGAACTCGGACTTCATTTTAAGGACATTTCGGCCAGGGGTGTAGAGCTATTTGAAAAGGAGAAAGTATCTTGTGCGAACGAGATACTTTCTCTCTCTCTTTTTTCTTTTCATGGCCCTTTAGGAGCTCTGTAGGACGCAAACCGGGACATTGAAATATAACGAGTGTGGTTCTTCAGAGAGTGAGAGATGTGGCAGCTTACTGTTTGACTAATTAGAGTTGTAATCAGAGGTGGAGGAAGTACTCTGACTTATTGCTTAAGTAAAAGAAGAAAAGTTCTCCATTAAAAATCTGGGTAAAAGTGCAGTTGTAATGTTCTTTGTACCCCACTACTACTACTACATACAACTGGAATACAAACACTAATTGTGCATTCACACAGGCACCATTACATGTAAAGTCAAAACTCTGGGAAAGAAACACAGGCGGACAGAGACTCAACAGCACTAAACATCAGAGAGAAATAACGCTGAAAATCGTTTTAGCATGCACCTGTCAACACAAGAGACGGCCTAATCACAACAGAAATGTAATCTAAATGCAGCAACCTTAATCTAACGGTTCCCCATAGGAATGAATGGGAGATCGGCAGGAACAGAGCTCAAAATCATCCAACTTTGAGGTCTTACTAATCGGGCATACTTTAACGGAGAAAAAAGATTCAGAGTTTAAACAGCTCTCCAGACTCTCCACTCTATTGGACCAAAAGGGTTTTTTGATCGATTGAACGGTTTTCCTAAAATAACCGTTTAGGTTGTGAGAAATGTTCAGAGCGTTTCAGATTCTATAATGGCTGTGCATGTGACGGAATGTTCAGAATGCCGGATGACATCTTCACTTAGAGGGTCTTTAAAAAATCTCCTGATATTAAACCTGCTCTAAATCCCACAATATTCACTCTCCATATTCAATGTTCATGCTTACAGTAGCTGAATTTGTCAGAGTCGTCTCGATGTCTTCACTATATCAAAGTAACCATCACATCTGGCCCAATAGTGTCATTAACTGGCCAGCTGCCATGCCAATAGACACCCATGTTAAATTCTACCAACATATTCTACTGGTGGGAACGCCCGGACACTTCAGGAAAACTGCAGCGGGTCACCAACAACAATGAGATCCCCAGAAAGCACGAAGACAGCTCACACTCAACATGTCTCTAGGGAAATGGTTTATCTTGTATATCTAAATATGTTCATGTTGTTTTGGACAGAAGGGGATTAGAGCCACATGAGGGAAAACATGGGAGTGACCAGAAGTAAAAAAAAAATGTGACCTGACTTTAATGAGATTTCAGATTTCTTTTTTTCTTTCAATTTTGTTTGACATTTTTCTTTTTCGAAAAAAAAATTAATTTATCTTAAAAGATAATGACAAAAAAATGTTTTCCTCAGAATTCTAAAATAAACTCAGAATTGTTTCTGGAAAGAAAATTCTAAAATGTTTTTCTCAGAATTATGAGATTTGGAAGAAAAAAATTTATCCTGGACATTTTTTTTTCTTTTGACAATTGTTTTCAGAAAAAACTAAATAATCTGAAGAAATTATTTAAAAAAAATGTTTACTAATTATTATTTACTTTTGGTCACATCCCCAAAACATTTTCCTCATGTGGCCCTGATCCTATTCCATACTTTGGACTGACAAACCCCAGATTTAAATCCATGTGCTGAAAATATTTGACATTTCCATTTCAATCATAAAGTGTCATCATCAACTCATCATTTAAGCTCTTCGTTAAAGGGGACCTATCATGCAAAATGCACTTTTGTACGTCTTTTCTACATGAATATGTGTCCCCGGTGTTCCAGGGAACTCACCAAGTGTCAGAAAACACAACCCTGTCTATTTTCCTCCATACCCAAATCTCTAAAAAAGGGGCTGCAACGGATCTGATAAAAACTGATCCAGATTTGAACACTGTTCTGACGTCAGGACGGTGGCGCTACGGCTATTGGGCCAACTCCACCAATCAGGGGAATGTGGGGTTGGGCCACGGCCGGCCGTTGCCGCTCGAAAGCGCTGGAGATGCTGTAGTACATATGCCAGGCCTGTAAGTGGCGCTGTAGTCTGCCACAAAAGCAGCGAAGAAGACTTGTGTCCCTGGGCAAGACACTTCACCCCAAATTGCTCCTGTGGGGATTGTCCACAGTGTTGAGTATGTAAGTCGCTTTGGATAAAAGCGTCTGATAAGTAACATGGACAAATTCTACAGAAGATCACTAACCAGAAAAGGCTTTTTAAATTGAATACTTGAGTAAATGTATACCTGCATTTACGTGGTCACTTACAACATTGCATCTGCATTATTTAGCTTATTGTATATGTATTTGTAGGCCTACATGTATATAGTTTACTTCATCTGCATTACTTGTACACTAGTCTGAACTATTTTACTCTGTTTCTTCATGCACTATTTTAATGTATTGTTTTATGTCCTATATATATTCATATTGCATTGCTGGAGGAGCTTCAGATGTGCATTGCATATCAACACTGCAGCTGCTGTGCATACTGTATGATGATAAAGCCCTTAAATCTACTTGGTAACTTCCACCTCTTCCACCTTAACAACATTCACCTTCAAACCGTCTCCATGTTCCACCTTTAATCAGCTTCACCTGCAGCTGTCAGTACACTCAGTGCTAACGGCTAGCATCAGCGGCTAACAGGCATTTTTAACTTTTAAAGAACAATGTGGAACACAACACAGCATGTCAGTGACAGCGGGTCAGAGGAGCCTTCAGGGGAGAAGCTTAAAGTCTCTTTTCTGGTGTTTAAAATCATGCATTTACGTGAGAAACTAAGGCTAAAGCTACACATGCTAACACTCACCTACCAGAAACGTGCAGGTCCTCCTGTAGTTGTGCTACGTCACGCGTCGCATCCGGGTCCTAAAGCCCGCCGGGTTCTGTTTCGGGTTAATTTTAAAGAGTTAAATATCTTATTTTAAAACGTTTTACCTTCACAATTAATTGTATGTTCTATTATATTAATTACAAATATTCAAAGACACACAGCGCAGTGAACAAAATAAAACATTACAAATAAATAGAGCTAAATAAAATTAAAAAGGACAAATATTAAATACCTGACTGATCTGTTTCTACTCTATCCCACAGATTATAAAACATATAATCAGACTACATAAATAGGTTGAGGACGAAGGTACGTTTTAACCGTTTGTTTTTTAGTTCAAATTGAAACTAAAAAAAGAGCAAAAACGGGTCGTTTTTTTGTTTTTCAATTTTGCCCCAAAACGAAAAAACGGAAATTCAGCTCGTTTTTTCGTTTTTCTGTTCTTACTGTTAAAACAAGTATACCACTCAATGTTTCGTTTCCATAAGTGGGTGCGTCTCCAGCGCCTCCTTGCTTCTGATTGGCTAGTGTGCCCTATGCTTGCGCTGTACCCTTCAAAATAAAGGTTCTACGTCTTTGCCTTTAGACTGCGTTACAAATATACGTATATTATTATGTTCATACATGCAGAAAGTACAGAAGACAGTCTGTCCGTATGTCTGTCTTTCTATGTATATGTCTGTCTGTCTGTCTCGATGGCTTTCTATCTCGATGTCTGTCTGTCTGTCTGTCTGTCTGTCTGTCTGTCTTTCTGTAACTATATTTTAGAGTTTAAAGCGTAGCCACTTTTACTCCACTACATGTATTTAGTACCTTTAGTTACTTCACAGATGTGGATGAATGATGTGAAATATAACCAAGTGTTAAATCAGACTTTAGTTCCACCTGGAGTAAATTCACAAGCTACCCTGCAGTATACAAAGTCATTCAAACTAGCTGCACCTTTACCAGCTTTGAGAACACTTTCATGATCAATCATTATAAAACATATCATATATATTATTCTGAAATGGACCAATCTGCACAATCACTACTTTTACTGTCTCTACTTTCACTATATTTTGATGATAATACTTTTATACTTTTACTTGAGGAACATTTTGAATGCAGGACTTTTACTGTAACAGCGTATTCCTACACCCTGGTACTTCTACTTTTACTCAAGTACAAGATCTGAGTACTTCTACTTTTACTCAAGTACATGATCTGAGTACTTCTACTTTTACTCAAGTACAAGATCTGAGTACTTCTACGTTTACTCAAGTACATGATCTGAGTACTTCTACAATGGTTGATTTCCAAATGTTCTGTTGGTGCGTGGATGATAAAATAATAGCGTTTGATTGTATTGCCTTACGTATGCAGCTATTTGCCTGTGTTTAGAAACATAATTAAACATACCATGGACACACATTCAAACAATTCTCCATGTATTAAACATTGCAGATGAACAATTAACAAGTCATACAGCTAAAGAAAACTACAACAATTATTGTCTGTATGATGATATCATGGAACCTGGAATTTGAACACACACACAATAACTTAATAAACGACTGAACTGCTGTCCACTTTAGGGGAGGGCCCTTAAAGCATCCAGTGCTGCAGACAGTCCAGCAACCTGGGTATACACTGGCTCCTGATCCCTGCACTTGCCTTTACACATATCTTCTTACAATGTCTATGAGATCCTTTATCCCGTTTTGGAATGGTGCTGGCTGGTTATGAATGGCACGCTCAAAGAGTTCAGCAATGTCCGCATAGTTCGTTGCAAATTCTTGTTCAGCTGCTGTCTGGTGCTCCACAGTGGCAAATGGGTTTCTCCCAAACAGCGACACTCGTGTCAGAGAGGACCCCACTTCCTGATGAAAGCAGTCTGCAGCATCTGTAGCTTCAGGCAAAAGATCTGCAGGCAGTCTCTTTGGGCATCCACCATGAGCAAGTTGATCTGGGATACCCTTACCTTAAAAGAAAAGCACAAATAAGTGGCCATTGTTAGTGTAATGTTACATATCATGCATATCAATGAACCTCACACAGCGTGTAATCATGGCCTGCCCTTACAACAAATGTTACTTGTGCTATTAGTACACTTCTTACAAACTTTAAAAAGTATGTTTTTAATTTGACTGTTTATTTACTTACCAGATATATATGTTTCATGCAATAAGAGCAATCTATAAACTAGATTAGATATGTCTTTACTCAGACAATTATTGAAATATTGGAATATATACATGCCACATTTAAACATTTCCATCAACCTAGTGTAAAAAAGGGGATACAGAGAGAAACAAATGTAGGATATAAGTACAACTTATAAAAATGCATAAAGAAGGTCATTTGTTATGGGGCTTAAGTAACATTCTGAAAACTGCTATACAAACCTTGGATTCTGTTCCAGGACTGCACCATCCGGTCAAGTCCAATTTTGGCTACCCGACAGGTAAGAGTGGACACACAATATCGTGTGATGTTGTCTTCAAGGTTTAGTTCCGTCATAGTCAGCCAATGTCTCCTGCAAACATGAGTCAGTTGACTAGATCAAGTAGCACCCCTCGGTCATTTCAAAGGTAATGAGATGCCCATTTCATACGTTGGCATGCTTTAGAATGTTACGTTTTAGTCCATGTTGCTAACTAAATGTGTGTCACTGTTCTTTTTGCATTACAGGTCAATACATGTGTCAGACATAATGGATGGAAAGATTGTTTCCACAAGGGTGGTCATGATCAGATTTGTTGAATCAGAGGCAAGCGTTCCACTGATCACAGGAAAAGTGAATGTGGCCATGGGAGACAGTGAGGAGTACATCCTTACAGACACCGTTGGGAATGAAATCGTTGCGTCTGAAGGGACAACTGGTAAATATAATTATTCTATATTTCATTTTGATTTGTGCAAAAGATAAGGGTCTGAAAGTGCTATCAGTACAACAATGTGCCCCTTTTAACATTTTATTTTCACGTGTCTTGACTCTTTATTTCTCTCATAAAGGGTCTTTGTACTGGAAGCCGAATGCAAGAAAGATCCATGCTGTTGAGAGTTCTGCTTTCAGGCAATGGCGTCGAAGAAGCTCAAGAAGCAGGTGTGGTTGGATAACAAAACTGATTTTGTCTGGAGAAGGTTTGAACTGGTCTATCAATAGGGGAAATAATGTAATGTGTAAAGAAGGGCGAGCACTCAAACTGAAGGGTCACGATGTGCAGCATTTCACTTTATTTTACTCGCTAACAACAGACTGGCAAAACCCTCTCATTATTTGAAAAAGGCTGCTTTCTGGCCATTTAGCATTTTTGCAGCTCAAGGGCTATACAAGTTTGCCATCTGGGGCAGGCATGCATAAGCATGGGCTTCACTGTAGCACACCTCAGCACTCTGTGGGTCAGCACATGGTATGAAGAGTCACAGTCAACATCAGTTCTACAATCAGCATTTATAAACAATATCCTTTAAAGGTAGGGTAGGTAAGTTTGAGAAACCGGCTCGAGATCGCTAGAATTTGAAAATACACAACCGGAGAAAATCTGCCACTTCCTTACAGAGCCCCTCCTCCAACACACACGAACGCGCACATGACCAATGAGGGCACGAGATAAGTTTGTGCACAGATGGAAGGCTGACAGGCAGGTAGGCCATCCAGTTATTTTAGCCGGGCCGGCTCAGATGATTGGTCGTGCTTTTTACAGTACTACAGCTTCCACAGATGATATTTTTTATGGATTTTTTGTCAAAGCACTTCAGATATTCATTGCTATCGGGATGTTAAGAGCATTCCATGGAATATAACAACAAGTGTATCTCGAGCCGGTTTCTCAAATGTAATTTCAAGAAATGAAATGTTTCCACATGCTCTTGTTTATTTAGCATCATCTAATTTGCCACGGAATACTTTCTTTTATCTCTAATAAAATGAAGAAAAAATCTTAAATGACTGCTAATACTTAAACTATTTTCAAACTGTGACAAAAACAGAAATGAGGTATCTGAAGTCCACACACTGAGCAACAAGGTGGAGGAACTGCTGGATGCATCCCAAGGCCTGGAAGAAGTCACAAGACATAGTGGCAGCCAGCCATGACTTGGTAGTACCAAGGCCAGAAGTCAAACAGGCATTTAGCTGTTTGATCTGCAGAGGTATCGTTTTCATCCTCTCTTTGAATAATGCTCAGTGTAACAAACAGTATTTAAAAAATAAAACGTATAGGTGCCGGATTTTCATATTATTCTAAGTTAATCTTTTCAAATCTATTTCTCAATGGTATCTTTCTCAGTTTGAGTGCATGCTTCAGAAATACAGTCCATGACATCAATCAGTAACTATCAGCACATCTTTAAAAACCTGTCTTTTTTCTTTTTAAAGAAACAATGACTGGACCCATGTTTTCCTCCTGCTGCCGAAGCATCGTGGGATGCAGGCTCTGTGTGGAGGAGTGGAGGATAACATCTCCCCAATGCCTTAAGTGCAGGGATCAGGAGCCAGTGTATACCCAGGTTGCTGGACTGTCTGCAGCACTGGATGCTTTAAGGGCCCTCCCCTAAAGTGGACAGCAGTTCAGTCGTTTATTAAGTTATTGTGTGTGTGTTCAAATTCCAGGTTCCATGATATCATCATACAGAAAATAATTGTTGTAGTTTTCTTTAGCTGTATGACTTGTTAATTGTTCATCTGCAATGTTTAATAAATGGAGAATTGTTTGAATGTGTGTCCATGGTATGTTTAATTATGTTTCTAAACACAGGCAAATAGCTGCATACGTAAGGCAATACAATCAAACGCTATTATTTTATCATCCATGCACCAACAGAACATTTGGAAATCAACCATTGTCGAAGTACTCAGATCTTGTACTTGAGTAAAAGTAGAAGTCCCAGAGTGTAGGAATACTCTGTTAAAAGTAAAAGTCCTGCATTCAAAATGTTCCTCAAGTAAAAGTATAAAAGTATTATCATCAAAATAT